TAAAAAACACTTCTAAAGAATACATTTAAATTTAAAATAGAGTTACAGTTACTATTTACAATATACAAGTGCACATGGTGCACACAATGTAAAGTGACAGCAGTACAGTGAAGTAAAGTGACGTGTGATGGGCAGTAAAGTGACTTTATAAAGGGCGGGGGGACAGGTTAAGAAGTGTTCAAGAGTCCAACAGCAGAGGGGAAGAAACTGTTCTTGTGGCGGGAGGTTCTAGTCCTGATGGACCGCAGCCTTCTGCCTGAGGGGAGTGGTTGGAATAGTCCATGTGCAGGGTGAGAGGGGTCGGCTGTGATACGACCAGCCCGGCCTCAAGCTCGGGCGACGTACAGGTCCTGCAGCGATGGAAGGCTGCGGCCGATCACTTCCTCTGCAGAGCGCACAATGCGCTGTAGTCTCTGTTTGTCCCTGACTGTGGCTCCAGCGAACCACACTGTGACGGAGGAGGTGAGGATGGACTCGATGATGGCCGTGTAGAACTGCACCAACATCTGTGCAGGCAGCTTGGCTTTCCTGAGCTGCCGCAGGAAGTACATGCTCTGCTGGGCCTTCTTGATGAGGGAGCTGATGGTCGGCTCCCACTTGAGGTCCTGGGTGATGGTGGTGCCCAGGAAACGGAAGGACTCCACAGAGGTGATGGGGGAGTCCATCACGGAGGGTGGGGGCGGGGGGACAGTGCTCTTCCTGAAGTCCACAATCATCTCCACTGTCTTCTGGGCGTTCAGCTCCAGGTTGTTACCACTGCACCAGGACACCAGCCGGTCCACCTCCCTCCTGTAGGCGGACTCATGGTTGTTGGAGATGAGTCCAATGAGGGTGGTGTCGTCCGCGAACTTGATCAGCTTCACGGAGTCGTGGCTGGAGGTGCAGTGGTTGGTGTACAGGGAGAAGAGCAGGGGAGAAAGAACACAGCCCTGTGGGGCTCCTGTATTTATAATCCGAGAGTCCGAGACATTCTTCCCCAGACGCACTCGCTGCTTCCTGTCCGTCAGGAAGTCAGTGATCCACCTGCAGGTGGAATCGGGCACGTTGAGCTGGGAGAGCTTGTCCTGGAGCAGGGATGGCAGGATTGTATTGAAGGCAGAGCTGAAGTCCACGAACAGGACCCTGGCGTAGGTCCCCGGGGAGTCCATGCTGTAGGATGTGGTGGAGGGCCAGGTTAATGGCGTCGTCTACAGATCTGTTGGCTCTGTAGGCGAACTGCAGGGGGTCCAGGAGGGGGAAGGTGAAGGACTTGAGATGGGAGAGAACCAGGCGTTCAAATGACTTCATGACGACAGACGTAAGTGCTACAGGTCTGTAGTCATTGAGTCCTGTGATCCTGGGCTTCTTCGGGACGGGGACAATGATGGAGGATTTGAAGCAGGCCGGGACATGGCAGGACTGCAGAGAGGTGTTGAAAATGTCCGTGAACACAGGAGTAAGCTCACTGGCGCAGTATCTCAGAGTGGCCGGAGACACGTGGTCCGGGCCAGGAGCTTTGCGGGGGTGCAGCCTCAAGAAGAGTTGTTTAATCTCTTTAGAGGCTATTGTTAGGCTGGGGGCAGGGCTGATGGGTGGGTCGTTAGAGTAGTGGGGGGTGGGGGAGGGAGAGGTGTCAGGGGCAGCATCAAAGCGACTGAAAAATAAGTTCAGTTCGTCAGCTAGCTTGTGGTCGTCAGCACAGGGGGGGTTTTGGGTTTGTAGTTGGTGATCTCCCGTAGGCCCCTCCAGACAGAAGCAGTATCGTTGTTACCAAACTGCTCCTGTAGTCGTTCTCTGTGCCGGGACTTGGCTGCTTTCAGTTCTTTCCTGAACTGATATTTAGCTGCTTTGTAGCCGCTGCGGTCCCCCTCCCTGAAAGCAGACTCCTTTGCTTTCCTGAGCTGCCGGAGTTTAGCAGTGAACCAGGGTTTGTCATTGTTATAGATGACCCTGGTCCTTGTTGGAATGATGCTATCCTCACAGAAGTGAATGTATGACGTCACAGTGTCCGTGTATTCATCCAAACTATCTGTGGCAGCTCTGAAAAGGTCCCAGTCTGTAGATTCCATGCATGCGCGCAGCTCTTCCACAGCTTCATCAGACCACACTTTGGAGCTCCTCACTGCAGGTTTCGAGAGCTTTAGTCTCTGTCTGTAAGCAGGAACCAGATGTATCATGGAGTGATCTGAGAAGCCGAGGGCTGGCTTGGGAACAGCGCGAAAAGCTCCGCGCACGGTGGTGTAACAGTGATCCAGAGTGTTCTCCTCTCTGGTCGGGCATTTGATAAACTGTCTGTATTTGGGTAATTCCTGGCTCAAGTTTCCCTTGTTAAAATCCCCCAGGATAATAATCAGAGAGTCCGGGTATAAACGTTCCATACACAGTACTTGCTCTGCGTCCGCGCATGGCGGTATGTAAACAGAGGCAAGAATGAATTAAACAATTTCACGAGGAGAGTAAAATGGTTTACAATGAATGAAAAGATATTCCAGAGCAGGAGAGCAGTGCTTGGAGATCACTGTCACATCGTTACACCAGTTTGTATTGACGTAGAAACACAGCCCACCGCCTCTGCTCTTCCCTGAGAGCGCACAATGGCGATCCGCGCGGAACAGCCCAAAGCCCTGCAGCTCCAGAGCGCAGTCCGGGATCCGCTCATTTAGCCAGGTCTCAGTGAAGCAGAGGACACAGGATGTGGCGAAGTCCTTGTTTCTTCTCATGAGCAGGCTGAGTTCGTCCATCTTATTGCCCAGTGAGCGTACGTTGGAGAGAAAAATGCCGGGGAGAGCCGTGCACGCTCCTCTCCTCCTAAGACGCACGAGCAGGCCTCCGCGCTTTCCCCTTTTACGGGCCCACACTTTTTCTCGTTCTCGTCTCGAGTTCTCCAGACAGTGTAATTCAACTGTATACCTAATTTGCATACTTACAATATTTAAAACAATTACAATATTACACATAAAATAAAAATACAATGCCTTTTTACCAAATATAGCATTGTAAATAGTTCTCGTGATCGTATAGTGGATTATAATAAACAATCATGAAATTTCTTTTTACCAAATAATACCTTTTTCTAGCTACCAATTATGTATGAAATGTATGTGTCACAACTACTTTATCTAAATGGTGCAACGCACATTTAAAGAAGCTATACCCGATTTTTTTTCTAAGTAGTTCATAAAAATGCTTTTTACTATACATACAAGTTGTATCATAATACATAATTTAATTGAAAACTTGAGGTCATTGATTCCACTGTGTATGAAATTCAAGCAGTGAAAAGTGCTGGAGTCTTAGCGGGACGCTCGTTCTCCTCCGCTCACAGAACAAGCAGCGAACAGCCTGCGTCCTCTAGCCCCTACAGCGCTGCTAACATCAGGGCTTCGACTTCAAAATTCGAATATAAATCTAAAATAAAAAATGTATATATTATATATATAATATATATATTCGAACGAATATTAGACAGCCCTTATAATTCGAAATGTATTTTGTGGCGGAAATGTCGTGCTAGGCAGGTAACAGCTAAGCTAGCTAGCTGTTTCATGGTAACTTCCGGGTTTTTCGCAATCGCTTTTTGTCACTTTAAAACAGTATTTTTGTCATGAAAATGTTGACAGCAAATTCTGAAATTGTCCGTGCATGTGTGTAAAGGATGTATATGTATAATGTATTGTCCGATTAACGTTTAATGGTGTTGATTGATATGTATTTGTTTATTGAGCGTGGCTCAATAAACTGCACAGTGTAGTGACAGGCGCTGATAGTAAAGTAATGGCAGTATTTTACACACCTGAATTACAAACAGAGATTGCATTGGGGCTGCGGTCATTATTGATTTGAGAGTTCTGTTATCAAGAAAAAATGATCGGAAGAATTACATTCAAGTCAATGGAGTGCTGCTGCTGTGAGGAGCTGTATAATAAAAAATTATAATTAAATATTAGAATATATTCTAATGTGTTATGAGAGCGTAGGGGAAATGAGAAGCCATTGAGGGAGTTGGGGGGCGGTGCTAAACATTCAAACATTGCAGAAACGGGTATACTGCCTTTAACCATCAGTAATACAAACATAAATGTACAGAAAAACACCTTAAACATTACATACCTGCACAGATAACAATACAGATAACAATAAACTGTGTGAACTCTCATGTGCTCTGTCTCGTTCTGCAAAGAGACATCGGTTAGCCGCACACTAAGCTAGATTCTCCGGCAGAGAATCACGGTTAAATAAAAAATAAATACTACACAACAATTAATTACTTGCTTAGCATTTCAATGGCTACACATGAGTAAACTAATAATTCTGTCCGCACAAATTCACGGACATGTTACCTCGTCTCGCGTTCTCCAGACAGTGAAAGAACTCAGGACTTTCTGCGCGAACTAAGGATGCAGGTATGGCGAACGCCAGAAGATGGCGCTGTGTCCACAATTTACATGGATTTAATTGCACTCTAGATAACTATGTTACACCAGTACAAATCTGCGCAGCTTTTTCTTCAAAAGGATGTATATCCCAATGCATATGGATTGAATTTTTGTAATGAATACAAAAATAAAGTGAGGTAATGCAGCTTTAATGTAAACTAAAACAACTCAACCTCAGCTGACAGAGAACCTACAGCTTTCACAAAGGTCGGATTTTGTGGGGATTTTAGTGTTCCATGTTATCCTGAACTTTTTTTCTTCTTAAATCCTTCGGTTTTCTTCAAATCTACCCTTTAGTGCCACAAACTCTGCTTGTCTGGTTCCCGCTCTAACTCCTGCTCTAGCAGCTCTGATTGGTCAAAGCACGGCCAAGCTCCTCTGTGCACGTGCAAGAAAGCCACACACATGTATTTGGCGCAAAGCATCATGGGAGCTTGTCCACTTCGCAGAACCAGGAGGACCGGACGATGCCCAAATATGAGCGAGTTCCGCAGATCTCTTGGTCCCCGTGCCGGCATATGCGCCACTGAAAACAAACCACTCATATGTATAGGGCGCCATCTTCGATTGCCGAGGCTTGGTGTGCTAAAAGTTAGCAATTAGCAGGCCGTTGGTCTCTGTGGGATCGTTCTCAGACTCCAGGGCCTGTCGGACCCTCTCCCAGAACAGGCCCCTGTGCCTCCGGGTCTGGGTCCAGCTCAGGTACGTGCGGCTCTTCACCAGCTTCCTCATGCGGTAGAACGGACTGAGCTCAGCAGACGAGATCTCCTCCAGAAACAACAGGATCAAGACGTCCTTCCGTTCATCGAACAGACGGAAGCTACAGAGGACACAGAACAAGACAGAACCAGGACTGAAGCAGGACTGAACCAGGATCTCCTGTGAGCACCACTCGCTCTGCAGGTAACGGCGGCTGATCACACACAGAGTCTTCCTGCTGCTGTAGATGGCGTCTGTGATGTTCTCCAGGATGGCTTTCCCTGAAACAGACATGAACAGATGTAGAGCAACAGTAAAGAAGTCTTGCTCCGTTCTTAAACCAGGGGAGTCCAAACTCTTTAATAAGAGAGCCACTTTAGTTCAATGGACTTGTCCAGGAGCCGACTACCTGGAGTATAAAACCCTTTGAACTGTATTCAGCCTGTTCTGGGCTTTAAAATTGGGCTTGATGTGTCCATATTGACTCTTCTATAATTCCACACTTTGTGCCACAAACTCTGTTTGTTTTCGTCTGCTCTGATCTTCACGTGTGCAGGGTGGTCATCATCGTCTCCTTCTAAACACTTACCTCCTTGTCGATGCTGGACGGTCCATGGACAGTGGTGATCCGGGACGTTTAAGGATATTTATTAACATTTCTGGACAGTGGACATCCCTCTCACCATGACCACAGTACGGTTTTGGAACAGCATTCACCTAGTTCGAAATCGCGATGGTGCAGACATAACTTCCATCCCTGTTGCTCCTCCAGCTCTGGCACCAATCGGTGGTAAACCCACTCCTCGTTGTGAACGTTGTACGAAACAAAAGCATCGTAAACGTGAGCACAGCCCTGTCTCCTCTTCCTCCCGTCGTACAGAAAGGCTCTGAAGAGGTAGTAGCTATAGACCAGCTGCCATCTGAGAAAGTGGTAGATGAACGATGAGAGCAGAGTGACCAGCACCAGAGAGGAGCTGGTGATGAAGCAGTTGAAGCTCACAGACTCCCAACACGACTGGACATTGAAGCTGAGCAACAGCTGGTCTTTCTGAGACAGTGGATACGAGCATTTGTACTGAAAAGCATCGGCCACAAAGACCTGTGTGTTATTCACCACCCAGGAAATGAAGTCAGCGTTGGAGCAGTCACACACAAACGGATTGTCCGATAAGTCCAGATATTTCAGTGACGGAAGCCTCTTGAAAACGGACTCGTCTATGATCTTTAGCTCGTTTTTAGCTAAGATCAGTCGTTCTAGTTTTGATAGATTTGTTCCTGAGAGAAAGTCCAACACTTTAAGGTGGTTTGTGGACAAGTCCAGTTGTTGGAGTTCACTGAGCGGCTTTAAAAGATTAAGTTCAGAAAAATTCCAGTTGTTATTGTGTGTGATGCTGAGATTTATTAATCGAGGTGTGTATGTGAACATTTCAGGGTGAGGTTGGCAGAAGAATCTACTGGATGAAAACATGGTTAAATTCACCAAACCTTTGAGAACATCTTGTGGTAGTTCATAACACAGGGTGGAACTGCTATCCAGGATCAATGTTTGCAGTGAATGCAAATCCTTGAAAAGTGAGTGGTCTAAAATAAAAGTTTTTAAATTCAAGTACCTCAGGTTCGTCAGTCCGCCAAAAGCCCCATCACTCACAATCAAACCATTCCCTACAGTCATCTCTCTCAGATGTGACATGTTTTTAAAGACTCCAGCTTGAAGATTATCAATGTTATCACCTGCTCTCAAAACAAGAAAATTAAGCAAAGCCAGACTGAAATCATCATCCAAACTAGTCAGAAAGTTATGTTCTATATTAAGTTCTTGAAGTCCCAGAAGATCGTGGAACACGCAGCTGTCCAGTTCAGTTAGATGATTATAACTAAGATCGAGCTTCGTCAACCGCCACAAACCAGAAAAGTCAGAACAATCAAGGAGTGGGATATGATTTCCAGAAAGGGACAAAGCAGTGAGACTGGACATGTTTCTGAGGGTTTCTGGGACTCGCTCTAAATGATAAGCTTCAATACTGAGTTTGGACAAATGCTTCAACATATGGAGGGAAGGCAGGTTCAATGAAAAGTTACCTGAGAGGTCTAGGTCAGTAATGTTGGAGCATGGTATGAACCAAGAGCTGTTAATAACTGATAATTCATTGTAACTTAGATCTAACTTTTGGAAAGATGGGGTCGCGCAGACAAAGTCCAACAAACCTCTGTCCAAAAAATACTCAATTTTACTGAGACTGAGAATGAGATTACCCAACGAAGTCACAGTTTGGAAAATCTTCTTGTACGTTTCGAAAGCAAAGTTTGTTCTCATGAAATAAAGACTCTTCAGATTTTGGAGAAAGCTTGTGTTCAATACGTCCCATTGAAGATTAGATTGTATTCTGTACAAAGCGAGGGATTTTAAACATGGTAAAACGTTTGCATGAAGCGTGAACTTCTCCAGAGGATTTAACCTCAAATTCAGGTCTGTGATGTTTAAAGGAAATGGGAAATCCATGGACTCAAAGGAAGTTAAGTTGTTTCCTCCTAAATCTAAGACCTGTAAATGAGGACAGTAGAACAGGGAGGTCACGAGGTCACTCACACTGTGGAGATTATTTTTGGACAAATGGAGATCTTGCAGATTTGTCAAAGGTTCAAACGTCTTCTTTGGAATCACTTTGATCTGGTTCATATCTAAACGCAGATGGGTTAAACTGGAAAGACCAATAAACATGTCTTCAGTCAAGTTTGTGAGTTTGTTACTTCTGAAACTTAATTCTGTCAAAGTCGGTGAATGCAAAAACGCCCCAGGTTCAATGAACGAAATCTGGTTTGATCCAAGGTTCAAAGTTAGGAGTTGGTCAAAGCCAATTAACTCGTTCTGTCTGACTTTTCTTAAGTTGTTGTTCTTTGCAGAGAGGAACTGAGCTGATCTGGGGACGTCTGTTGGTATCGTGGTTAAATATTGGTTATCACAGTTGACGCTCCTCAGGTTTTCGGGGTCCAGGCTACAGTTGTGCAGAGAGTAGAGCTGAAAAGGACGAGGCAGGAGCAGAAAAAACAGGAGTGAGAGAAGAGGAGAGGTGTGAGGAGCCATCATGAGATCTGTGCAAGAAGAAAGAGAAGAGTACAATCATCTTTCCAATTGGTTTATTAATTCTAAAAAAAACTAGAACATTAACATTAATACTATCCTCAGCGTTTGACTCCTTCACACTGAAGCCTGTGTCAAAGCACTGCTCGGGGACCCATCTCCAGACTTTCTTGGTCAGGACCACTCACCAATAGCCTCCCAAGAACTTCTCTGAAGGATTTGGGTCCAAGCTGTGTGGAAGTGAGGCTGACTAGCTCTAGCTGGTATCCCTCAACCTACTCCACAAGATTTGGCTCCTCCCCCAAGAGCTCAGTGCCCCCCCCAGTGAGGTGACGTTCCACGTGCCCGGGCAGTTGCAGTAATTTGGAGAGTCCATGGAGCATGACTATCGGTCGCTCTCAAAGAGATTTTGGCAAACCGTCCGGCGCCTCAGGAGGGGGAAGGAGTTCTTTGTAGGGCTGGACGATAGTGGAAATTAGTGCAATATTTGAAACGAGTGTTTAGTATTTCGATAACAATATTATTGCAATATTTTTGTCTTTCATCTAAAATTGCAATCTGCATTGAAACGCAAGAGACAAATAACAAAAAAGCACAACATTAACTGACTCCTCCTGCTCTCGTTGCCCCCTGCTGACTGCTTGCTCTGTGTGCGTCTGTATGTGTTCTGGGCAATGGTGTAGGTTTGGTTCCAATCTTGGTGGGGACATTCACTACGACCTGAGTCTACACCCATTGACACGGGGTCCAGAGTTTCTCCCCCAGAATTTGTTGTGTAATCACACACTATATTTGCAATAGTGTGTTGCCTTCTATACTAAACTCAGCTGTAGACTGAATGAGAAGCAGTTAAGGATTTGTTCTAATAGTCAGAGGAGAAAATATTGAATTAGAATCTACAGTGAGTAGCTCACTACATTGTTTGACATATACGATCAATCAACGATTCATAGTCCCATGCATACCTACAAAATTCCAACCTCACCTGATGCACTGAAGGGCCTGTTGCTTCTACCTCAACATTCCCTATATTGTTCTCTCTTGTTGGTTGAGTTTCCTATGTATGTTAACAGAAGATTAATCATCACAATTCATAATTTGCTATTACTTGTGCTTTCTCTTACTTACTTTCCAACTGTTAAAAAAGCTCCTGATATCTTTTATCTTTTTTTGTGGAGGTGGCATTTTTTCTAAATTATATAAGAAGGTATAGAAAATCAAAAACAGACATTCATATACATGAACTGCAGAATCATTTATATAACTTGGCCAATGTCAAAAGTTACATAGTATTTCTCAATACAATGAGTTAACAAGAGTTTGGCAATAAGTAACAGTGTGGATTTGTCTATATTTTCTTTTTTTTATTCCACTCTCAACCCAAAAAGGCAAGTAATGACTCACAGGGCTCTCAAGCAAAATAAAAACTTAAATGACCTGTTGTGGTGTGTTTTGCGCACAACCAGCATGCATCGTTAACGCAATGGAAAATTGAGGTATCCGAGCTTTAATTTCGGGAGCGCTGGTTGCGCTTTGGGAAGAGTCAGGGGAGAGACATGTCAGAGACACAGGGGAGAAACGGGGGAGATACGAGGGAGACATGGTTCTGTCTGCATATGGTCCGAGCTCGGTACCATGTTAGAGCTGTGCTTTCACTGAGCGCCGCGGCTGTCATTACAAAGCGGCAGCAGCTGCACCAGGACGTGCACATTCGAGTGCATCGCTTGAATGTGCTTAGAGCAAATAACAGCAAGTGCCCGCTGTCACACATTTCACAGAAATTACATTATCAGCAGATAAAGGTTGTAAATCGTGGATCCGTGGAATATTTTCATCCCTAGTTTATCCTGATTCACACAACACACCCACTTATACATTTTGGATAGTAAGAGCACAATAAGTATTTTTTCAGCCTTTCAACCAACCTGTTTCTTTATTGGAGCCAGTTCTGTTCTGTCTCTGTGCCGTGTGAGCTCCTCGGGACATTAAACAGTGCGCTGACAGATTAGAAATAACGTAAGTACTTTGAATGGTAATAGATCTACAGTACTTTCCTCTGATTACTCACGTGCTACAACGCTCAGGGAACGAAAAAAAACACTTGCTTCACGCTGGCTAACTTTAAAAAATTAAACAGTCGCTCAGTGCTTCAGTTTGGCGCTGAAGAAGACAGCCAATCACTGCAGAGAACGGAACGGGTCACGTGCTGCTGCTGCTGCTGTTGCTCTGGAGGCGAGGAGGAGGCGCGACGTGTGCACAAACGGAAGACATGTGTCCCGGACCGTCCGGGTCACGGGACATCATGTCATTTTGGTGGGGACTTATTAGTCCTCACCAAATATTGGTGGGGACATGTCCCCATGGTCCCCACGCAAACCTACGCCCTTGGTTCTGGGTCTGTCTCCTTATTGTGACAATATGAATTAAACTGTGCTTGAAACGGGTCGCGCCTGTCGCTTTAAGACACGGCATTTGGTTCGCTCTATAAATGCGCGTCTCTCTCTCGGATGCGCCCCTTTTGGACACGCTTCCTGGGGCCCAGTCCCAATACCCAGACTGCACCCTACGCCCTCCTATGAAGTGTGCATTTGTTTGAAGTGCGCGCAAGGGTTGGAGTGCGCAGTTTGCAAGTGTGCACAAAAGGCAGAATTGGGACAGTGCACACTGAGTGCAGGTTACGTCATTGACTCGTCAGAGATGGTCATTTTCAGACCTAAACTTTATAAACATTAAAGGTAATTTTGTCTGACCCTTTGGGAAACAAAATGAATTGCTTCTCACACGTTAAAATACATGTATATTAGTTGTTTTTAATTAGAGATAGCTGTATAATGTTAAGTTAAATGTGGGTAACTAACTATCTGGTCAGTTTTTATACATTCTAAGATTATTGTACTAAGTGTAAAGTTTAAATTGAATGTTATTTGAACGCTTGATTTAAAAAGTTATTAAATTGTTAAAACACAATGTCCGTAATTCTTCATCAGACGTTTATGCTTCTTTCAAAGTAACAAAGCAAAACTTATTTATCCACATACTGCAGATATATTTCAAAATGTATATTTAAATGCATGTTCCCGACGTTTTGGTGTGTACCGAAAAGAATTATGGGCAATATCCTTCGCCAGAGTGCGCATAGATGCAGGCTACGGCGAAGTGTGGATCAGGGGCGCAAAGGGGGCGGGGCCAAAGACCTCCCTGGAGACACCCTACGCACTCGCACCCTTTATCGGGAACGCGCAAATGAGGGACGCGAGGGTGGAAGTGCGAGTATTGGGACGGGGCCCCAGTCTGCGTCTGGCCAGGTACGAGATGCTGCGCTAGTGCACACGTGTGACAAAGGGAGGCTAGGGTTCCTCTAAGAGCATGGCAGGGAAGTCTGGTAACAAAACACGACCGAAGCAGAAATTTAAAAAAGATACAAGCTTAATTTTTGACACCAATAGATAAAAAACAACCTTTTATTTCCATCCATCCATCTTCTACCCTTTAATCCATTTCTGGGTCAGGGGGTGGCAATCAGAGATGCCACCCAAGTCTCATAGCACCAGCCCCTCACTGACCCTCTGCAGGTGGTGAGTCCACAGGAGGACAGCTGCTCTCTGAGTGTGAGCATAGCCTTGATCTTTCAGTGGGGGCTTTGGGCAAAGTGGGGTTAAGTGTCTTGCCCAAGGACACAACGACAGCAGTCATCAGTGGGAGTCGGTGGAGAAGGTGTAGCGGTGGTTATTTAATGTTAATAAAATCTTTAAGATATAGCAGTGAAGGAAAACAAAACACTATTTACAACAGGTTTAATGAGCCAAACCAAGCAGCAGCGGCTAACTGTTGGGTAGAGCACAGAACTGTTAGAATAAACAAAACACTTAAACCCAACTTGTGCGGAACGCGCCATACCTCGCATGAACATCAACCCGGCGCAAGACAAAGCTCGGGCATGAAGCGGACACCAGCAGCCCACCACCTGCCGTGACACAGGTTCAGCGAAAGAAACAAATAAACACTATACTCACATGCAGAAGTTTTTACTCACGTCTGCCCCACACAGACGACCCCACCGCACAGCACGACCAACCCGAAGCTCCAGAGGTGTGCTACTCTGGTGTGCGCACCGGTTTTACACTACTGGTAATTAGCTGCCGCAGCTGGTAAGCAGACAGCGAGGGAGTTAAAAAAAAGTTAATTTGGTGTTTAGTTGTCCTTTATAAAAGGAGTTACAGGTCTGTGAGAGCCAGAAATCTTGTTTGTTTGAAGGTGACCAAATACTTTTTTTCCACCATAATTTGCAAACAAATTCGTAAAAAATCAGACATGCGATTTTCTGGATTATTGTCTCTCTTATGGTTGAGGTATATGAGGCCTCCCTCATCTTTTAAAGTGGGAGAACTTGCACAACTGGTGGCTGCCTAAATACTTCCCCCCCACTGTACATTTTATGTAGACGCTCAAAGAGGCAGTGGTGATAAACTACTGTAGCCATCTGTTCTGTGTCAAGCGAGGCACCAGTCTGTGCCAAATCAATACAATACATTCATAAATGTTAGAACTCTAGATTCTAGATTCTGCGCTGCTCCTTTTGCAGTGATGTTTTTTTTTCTCCTATTAAATCTAAGAGCTTTTACTCACCTGCTTCTCTGCTGACAACAGGAACTGGAACAAACATCCGAACAATTCAAAACACCAGAAACCTGTTTGTCTTTGTCATGTGACGACAGAACAAACCGGTCTGGGACAAGTTCCTCACTTTAACTCAGAGCCTTCAAATGCATGTTAGGTGTAAAAGTATTGGTTCTGGTCTCAGGTGTCTGTCCTGAAGTCCTCTCACACTAGTCCTGGTCTCAGGTCTTGGTCCTGAAGTCCTTGAGCAGAGACTCTCCACACACTCCACCAGCTCAGGAGACATACTGTATTTTGCTAAATGTGTTTTTCTGTATTTCACTCCATGTCCCAAAAGTGTGCGCCATCAGGTCTGACATGACCCTGGATGGAGCTAAACACGAGTCCAGGTCTGTGACTGCTTAACCTTTAGTACAGTGATGAATGGAACCAGTGCATGAAACAGTAATGAAGCAATAAGACCAAAGAACATTTGTCTCACAAATTATGCACCATTTTTAGTGAGTGTCCCGTTTGGAGAAGTGATGACCCGTGTCCATTTAATTATTAAAGACGTTTAACATGTTTTACACTGAGAGCCAAGCGAGCAATCACAGGGATTTTTGGGCTAATGAGAGGTGAAGAGAGGAGTGGTCATTTCCCACAGAGACAGACTCCTGTCTGGCGGTTATTGTTATAGATATGAGTCTCTTCATCTCCCTCTGGTCTCTCACTGTTCTCTCTCTCTCTGGTCTCTCACTGGTCTCTTTCTCTGGTCTCTCACTGGTCTCTCTCTCTGGTCTCTCTCTCTGTGGTCTCTCACTGGTCTCTCTCTCTGGTCTCTCTGGACTCTGTGGTCTCTCTCTGTGGTCTCTCTCTGGTCTATGTCTTGTTGCATACTGTAAATGAAATCACGCACACGCTGATCACCTTTTATTATCAGTACTTTCATGTACTATCAATTACATTGTTGTTTGATATGGTTTGTACTAAACACACGTGTGCCTTATGTTACTCATCATTGGGCTCTATATTCACTATAATGTGTTTTAGATGGTTAGTGTCGAAAGGGACTTGATCAGAAACCAGGAAAAGGTCAAAGTATGGTTTCGCAAACTAGCAGGAAAACTACAGACGTAAGCACATGGGAACATTTTATGACCGGCTACCACAGGAGAGAAACTAAAAACAAGTGTCACTCTGAGAACAATAGACAATTAAGGAATGTAGCTTCCTGTTCTCTCCAAGATGTTTTATCAGAAAACTGATGAGATGTGGCGGAGGAATGAGGCCGCTGACCACCTCCACTGCTGGACCAAAGTTCAAGACCAGTCCTAGACCTGATCTTGCCGCTTCTACGTATGGGCCCCAGGATGATGTCTCCTGATGCGACACGCCCCTTTGCACATTTACTATATGTGATTAATCTATGCTGTGTTGGTCAGTCTGAGCAGGGACAGGGAGGTCTTCACAGAGCGCCTGCTGACCTCCAGAGTTTACAGACCTGTGGGGACAGTTTTTTGGCTCAGCTCATAGGGAGAGTCAGGGATAGGAGCTTAAAGATTCTTGTATTAGTATTTAATTGTAAAGAGAATTAAATATTGTTTATTTGAACTCTTGAATATCTTGGTCTTCTTTTCTGGTCAAATTCTGAATCACGTCTCTGGTCTTTCTCTCTTGCCTCTGTCTCTGGAGAGTGAAGAAAATATGTATTTATTTTTATTATTTCCTTTATTGTCATGTTTTATTGTGCGTGTGTGTCTGTGTGATTGTGTCTGTGTGTGTTGTGTATCTGGGTGTGTGTATGTGTGTGTGTGTGTGTGGTCTCCTTTGTGTTGCTTTTATTGAGGTGACAGTGTTATCTCTGCAGGTCACATATTGACGGTTATTTGATGATTTGTCTATCGGCCGCTGATGTCGCGCCTCTTTACTCGCCGCGGATATTGTTTTCTTTCTGTGCATTTGCGGCGGATTAAATATGGTTTTCTCATTTCCTCAGAATAAACTTTATCTTTGGTTAAAAACAAGAGGATGAGTTGGAAATGTACGATTTTATTATTTGACCCGAGATCAACACAGATACTGAACATTTATGTGGGACGCGACATGTAAAATAGACTCAGAGAGAGACTAGAGACGGAACCAGAGAGACCCGAGGGAGACCAGAGGGAGACCAGAGGGGGACCAGAGAGGGACCAAAGAGGGTCTAGAGAGAGACCAGAGAGAGACTAGAGAGGGACCAGAGGGAGACTAGAGAGGGAACACAGAGAGACCAGAGAGGGACTAGAGAGGGACCAGAGAGAGACCAGAGCGAGACCAGAGAGAGACCAGAGAGAGACCAGAGAGAGAACCAGAGAGAGACCAGAGGGAGACCATGGAGGGACCAGAGAGGGAACCAGAGAGAGACCAGAGGGAGACCATAGAGAGACCAGAGGGAGAGCCCAAAGAGATGAGAGAGAGACCAGAGAGTGACCAGAGAGACCAGAGCGAGACCAGAGAGAGAGAAAGAGACCAGAGGGGGGAACAAGAGAGAGACCAGATAGAGAGACCAGGGAGTGAGACCACAGGGAGACGCAAGAAAGGGAAACACCAAAGAGAGAGACCAGAGAGGCACAACAGAGAGAGATCAGAGACCAGTGAGAGAAATAGAGAGGATCACTCAGCCCAAAAGAGTCAAATAGTGGCTCGCTCTTAGACAAACAAAACAAGTTTTCAAAGGAGATGAAGGCAGCATGTTGTGGTAACAGACAAAACTCACTCTTAACATGGATTATTAATGAAACGATGAAAAGTCAGGTACCCCAGCTTTAACGTGTTTACTTTCTCGGTGCCGTCCATAGACTGCGTCACGAGTCGCTGCAGCTGCGCGCACGTGGTCTGTTGTTTACGTCTCGTGTTGCTCCGAGGGAAAAAAAAAGGTCAAACTATTGAGAAACCTGCTCTGGAAGACACACAACACATGAAGACACACAACACACCAGGACACACAACACACCAGGACCCCTGCACTTAAAGCTGGGGTTTGTGCGTTTGAAGCCATCGCAGCAGAAAACGGTAAACAAACACTTGTCTTTGATCTCGCGCCGCTGAAGGTGTATGTCGTCACAGATCGCGGTGGTCACGTCACGTGCGACAGTCGCGTTTGGAAACTTCTAGAACTAAAAGATAAGTTTGTTACAGAGAACAGTGTGTTTTAATTCATGAAAGAGGTGCAGCGGCTCTTAAAGAGACAGAGCAGTGCGGAAGGAGAGACAAAACCATACACTGTATAGACAAAACACAAGATAGTTATGTCAGGATTTAGCAGACAGAGACGGATCGTGGTGTGCCAAACTCTGGAAGTTTATTTACGTTTCTCTCAAGTTCCACTGGTTTACTCTGTTTCTTTCTCTCAGACAGAATAAAGGCAGTACACAGTTTATATAGTCATTGTCACGTCACACATCAAAAGACATACGTGTCACAAAGAGACAGTCACATCATAGTCATAACATGGAGTCCTTGTAGAGTCCTTGTAGAGTCCTGCACGTAGGCCATATTGCTATCTAATACTAATACCTTAGTTAGTAGTTATAGTTACAAGTAGTAGTAGTAAATATAGCAGTTGTATTAGTTGCAGTAGTAGTAGTATTACTAGCATTAAGAAGAAGTAGTAGCAGTAATAGTATTAGTAGTAACAGTCACAGTAGTAGTAGAAGTAGTGGTATTAGTAGTAATAGTTTTAATAGTAATATTAGTAGTAGTAATAGTGGCCAACACCGTGAACAGAGAGAGACCAGACAGCTCGGACCACAGAGGGCCGCGGACTCCTGGAGAACCCCCAGAAGGACCCGGGAATATGGTCAAACGCCTTCGGACAAAGGCGAACTCCCATGATCCTCCAGTGTCCCATGGAGCGTATATAGTGCTGAACCAGTGACCCGCAGCACACTGTTCCTCCTGGATCTGAGATTCTGGATCAGACCTCACCAGGATCAGACCTCACCAGGATCAGACCTCACCAGGATCAGACCTCACCAGGATCAGACCTCACCAGGATCAGACCTCACCTGGATCAGACCTCGCCTGGATCAGACCTCACCAGGATCAGACCTCACCTGGATCAGACCTCACCAGGATCAGACCTCACCTGGAGGCTGAGGACCATCTGTTGAAGATATTGTACACATTTTCATACTGAAATAATGTTTTTCTGGTCTTCCTTCGGTGCGAACCTTCGTCCAGACCATGACCTCCGCGCTGCACTTTGTGTTTCCTCTCGGCTTCAAATCTTCGGAAAGTTCCTCCAAAAACGGAACAGAGACAACGGCCGAGTTTATGCAGAGGCTCAGGTACCTCCTCTATCTGGTTACTGACAGCTCTCTGGTCTCTCTCTGGTCTCTCTCTCTGGTCTCTTTCTGGTCTCTCTCTGGTCTCTCTCTGGTCTCTCTCTCTGGTCTCTCTCTGGTCTCTCTCTGGTCTCTCTCTCTGGTCTCTCTCTCTGGTCTCTCTCTGGTCTCTCTCTGGTCTCTCTCTGGTCTCTCTCTGGTCTCTCTCTCTGGTCTCTCTCTCTGGTCTCTCTCTCTGGTCTCTCTCTCTGGTCTCTCTCTGGTCTCTCTCTGGTCTCTCTCTGATCTCTCTCTCTGGTCTCTCTCTGGTCTCTCTCTGGTCTCTCTCTCTGGTCTCTCTCTCTGGTCTCTCTCTGGTCTCTCTCTCTGGTCTCTCTCTCTGGTCTCTCTCTGGTCTCTCTCTGGTCTCTCTCTCTGGTCTTTCTCTGGTCTCTCTCTGGTCTCTCTCTGGTCTCTCTCTCTGGTCTCTCTCTGGTCTCTCTCTGGTCTCTCTCTCTGGTCTCTCTCTCTGGTCTCTCTCTGGTCTCTCTCTGGTCTCTCTCTCTGGTCTTTCTCTGGTCTCTCTCTGGTCTCTCTCTGGTCTCTCTCTCTGGTCTCTCTCTGGTCTCTCTCTGGTCTCTCTCTCTGGTCTCTCTCTGGTCTCTCTCTCTGGTCTCTCCCTGTCTCTCTGTGTGCGTCTCAAGCTGTGGTCCTGTATCTTTCTGCAGGAGAGTGACGGGGCTGAAGAAGGAAGATGTTTTCTGCAACCTCCGTGTTCCAGAGAAAGAGAAAGAATTCTCCACAGATGACATCAGTGCAGTTGTGCTCACAGGTCAGACCCTTTGTTCTCTGGTTTCTCTCTCTCTCTGTCTTTGTTCTGTCTGATTCCTCTCTGGTCCCTCTCTGGTCCCTCTCTGGTCTCTCTCTCTGGTCTCTCTATTGTTTCTGGTCTCTCTTTTGTAAATTAATATTTCAAAACCGCTAACGTATGCTAACAGCTCATGCTAATTTGATGGTAGCATTGGCGCCATCTCTCAGCCACCGTAGCAAACTGTTGTGAGAAGGTTGTGGGTTCGGTCTCGTCTCAGCCCCGTCTCAGCCCTGGTTTCGGCCCTGGTCTCTGTCCTGGTCTTTGTTCTGGTCTCTCGTTGGGTTTGAACGAGTTTCAAAAATGAAGAGAATTTTTATTTCAGGCCGCGGCGTCTTCTGCATCGATGTAAAAACCTGGAGAGGAAAAGTCTGTGTCCAAAACTCAAACTGGCAAATTCACCAGAAGGAGAAGGAGGCCAGCTTCAGCACCAGAGTGGAGCAGACGGAGGACGCACTCAGACCCGTCAAGGTCAGTCCTGCACCACAGTAGAGAGCAGGTTTATTTGTATAGCACAGTTCATACACAAAGTGCTGAACAAAACAAGAAAATAAATATTCAAATTATAAATAATCACAGTTCATTACAAAGAGTGAAGATACAATCCTTTAGTTGTTGCAGAAACAGAACTGTTTTAACCTGGATTTAAATATTGTCATAGAAGGAGCCTGTCTCACATTTTAACACTAGGACCGCCGTGCTCTAAACATACCTTGCACCGCCCCCTGCGGTCAGTTGACCGCTATGTATTTTGCGCTGATACAGCCTTTTGCCAAATTGATTGTTCACTAAACCAGAACTTGATGTTGCAAAGGAACCGTGATCATAATGAAACTGTGTAAATTATTTGTCTAAATATGCTAAGTAATTGTAATTCTAGCCGAAATAAAAGACTAAGACGACACATTGTGCGTGTACTGATCCATCAAAATTACGATGACTTTTCAGGCTAGATTTATTTTGTAACTTTGCAAACACGTAAAAGGTCGGTCACTATATGTTATATTTGACTCAGTAACAATATGTAAATTCAAACAATATAAATTATAGTTTAGAAAAGCACGGGACCATAACGTCTTCGCGCTGCTATATGCGTCTACTTCTTACGTCATCTCCAGACTGTTTGCTCTTTCCAGCCGAAATCACCGTGGGAAATATTATCTAGATAATAATAATAGTATTCGTATTGACACAAGATCATCAGCTTGGCTACCATCGTCAATGTAAAATCTTCAATTTTACACGGGACACGTTAGAAAGACAAATATATGTATATGTATATTTGTATTTATTTGAGACAAGCAGTGCTCTTTATGCTCAGAACAAAATTATAATCATTGCCTTGCAGTGCGCGCTGTGCAGAATAACACACAGTGTTATCTGGATGAAATAAGAATTATATCCTTATTGATATGATGAGGGCCGCCTCTGCCCCACAGTCCCTCTCCTCCTGCAGTGTCCGCGGGTGACGAGCACTCTGATCTGCACTCTGCCTTGATAGTTCATCTAATTGTTCTATTTTATTGCGATATTGTATTCTGCTTTATTGCCTTCTTGTATGTATAAATATAATAATGTAATTGATGATGAATGAAAAGGCAGAATGGAGCGACAGCGCGCACACAGACACCTGCGTATGGCTGGCATTACGCGGGTCATGTGCGTTATTGCTTCTGGACTTGTTACAACACTGCTGTCCGTGCCGTGAATGCACTATGGGTTTACATTCAGATTTAGAATATTATAGGTGTTCTCCCCGCTGTCACTTTCTACCTCAAAATGTGACATCTCTCACCTCCGTCAGACTGTTCTCATTCAATGTCTTGAAGCACTGTCAGGCCTTCATACCGTGTACTTGCAGCTCTATTCATTTTGTACTCCTCTCTCTCTCCCAAATAATAATAAAAAAGTCCCTTTAGAGTCTAATGACAACATATTGATACATTTTTATAAGGCGCGAAAAACCCCCGGGAAAGGTTACTATGACAACAGTCGCCCCTGCGCCATGTATCTCCATGGGGCAGCAGAAAGGGCTGTGGTTTAGAAAAGTTAAAATACGTGTAAATCTTGTTTTCTTTACTTTTTCCAAAACCAAAACACACCAAAATATAAACAACAAGTACCTAGTAAAAGTCATAAAATTTCAACTTCTGGCGTTTTGTTTTGAATACACTAATTAGCATAATAAAGTGAGTGACGGTCAGTTGACCGCTAGGGGCGCTCCTAGTGTTAAGGAAGACTGTTCCAGATTTTAGCTGCATAGATTTGAAACGCTGCCTCCTCATGTTTAGTCCTGACTCTGGGCACCAGCAGGAGGCCAGTCCCTGTGCTCCTCAAAGTTGGTTTATATGGCACTAACATTTCACTGGTGGAGAAATTTACAAGTCTAACAAACAGAGCTGCTTTAAAGTCTCTGAGCCGCAGGAAGCAGAGACCTGGGACCAGGACTAATGAGAGAGGACTTTCTGGTTCTAGTCTGGACTCAGGTAGAAGAACTGTTTTAACACAAGTCAAACCCAGAGCACACGGACATTTCATGTAAATGAGTCCAGCCTGAAGTGGCTCTTCATTTCAGCCTGTAATTATGATAATTGGGGGATGATCAGTTACTCTCACAGATTTGACCTGACCCTATGGTACTTCCTTTACAATTACTCTCTGGTCACTCTGGTCCCACTCTGGTCCCTCTTTTGTCTCTCCTTGGTCTCTCTCTGGTCTCTCTCTCATGTTTCTCTCTGTTCTCTCTCTGGTCTCTCTTTGTTCTTTCTCTGCTGTCTCTCTGGTCTCTCTCATGTCTCTCTCTGGTCGTTCTCTCACGTCTCTCTCTCTGCAGAGGAAATCCCAGTCCCTCTGCTCTCACCTGAAGCAGAGTGGTGTGCGTGTGCGTGATCAGCTCTTCATTCCTCGCCTCCTCTTCCTCAGTCCTGACCTGGAGCTGGACCAGACTCTGCGGGACCGGCCCGAGATTGTATCCCAGGCCCAGATCCAGGACTTCCTCTGCTCCTTCAGGGAGGGCTACGTGAGCTGGATCACAGACGCCCTGACGCCTGCCTGGATCTCAGGTGCGAGGAACACGACCAGTGGCAGCCATGTTTGTAGTCCCTCCATGTTTGTAGTCTCCTCCATGTTTGTAGTTCTGACTGCCAAAAGGGAAACTCACTGTGGAACTGTATGGACACTTTAGAGCCCAATCCCAACCGTGGCTCTCTCTGCTTTCTCTCTAGTCTCTCTCTCTGGTCTCTCTCTGGTCTCTCTCTCTGATCTCTCTCTCTCTCTCGGGTCTCTCTCGCTCTGCTCCCTCTCAGATTTCTCTCTCCAGTCTCTCTCTCTGGTCACTCTCTGGTCCCTCTCTCTGATCTCTCTCTGTCTCTGGCCTCTGCTCTCTCTCTCGGGTCTCTCTCTCTCGTCTCTCTCTCTCTGATCTCTGCTCTTTCTCTGCCCTCTCTATCTGACCTCAGTGCTATCTCTCTCTCTGACCTCAGTGCTCTCTCTCTCTGCTCTCTCACAGGCCACCTCTCCTACTCTACCCTGGACGGTGTGCGCTCTCTCCTCTCTCGTGCTGGGACCTGGGACATTCTGAAGCTGCAGAGCGGAGAGACTCTGAGGGGAGACTTCCAGCTCTGTCCCTTCATCGCCCTGGACCGCAGCCAGACCCAGAGCCTGGAGTTCAGCCGCAGGTCTCTGTGGCGGCTGCTGGGACACACGCCGCAGGTGATGGGGGGAGAGAGGAGCGAGGGGAGGGGGGAGACAGAAGGTGGAGGAGAGAGGGAGAGGAGGGAGGTGCTGAGGAGAGATACAGTAAGTAACAGACGAGAATGTTCCATGCTCTCTCCTCTCATATCCCCTCATTCCCTTCTCTCTGGTCTCTCTCCTCTCTCTCTCCTCTCCTCTCTCTCCTCTCATATCCCCTCATTCCCTTCTCTCTGGTCTCTCACCTCTCCTTTCCTCTCTCTCTGTCTTCTCTCCTCACTTTCCTCTCTCTCCTCTTCTCTCTCTCTCTCCTCTCAGCTTTCTCTGCTCTCTTTCCACTCACCTCTCTTCCATCTAAATTGCGTACCTCAGCTTTAATCAGTATATAACACATTATATTCGTGAATCAATAATGATACAGACGTTACTCACTTTGTGGAGTAGTATCTTCCTGGTAAAAAACCTCAAACACCGTCACAATACGTCCCCTTTAATAAACAGAAGCGAGATAATGTGTCCGTCTCAAATTACAAACTCTTAAAAGTTAATTTCCAATGTAAATGCATGAGCCGCTCTTGTTTAACTATGTGTTCAAATGTGGGACTGCGTTGGAACCAGGTCAGATCGAAGCCAAACTAAATTAACTAAAGAGGCCGTGGAGAGCTCTCGGAACGCGACTGGGCGACCATTTTGTCTCTCCAACCAAAAACACATCCTGGATTTTAATAAAGGCGATTACTCTCTCTGCGCGGACACTCGACGGCGCTGTGTGGCTGAGTGGTTAGCTTATGGCAACTTCCTACACAAACTCTCCTGAAAGCCATTTGCAATTTGCCGCCGCTGGAGAGGTGTAATTATGTCAGAGAAATCCAGGACGAGTTTCTTCACCAGTTTAGCAGAAAACGCTGTCGGAGGCGAACGGAGATCAGAAACTTTACAGAATTAGTTTAACCATCAAAGTTAAAGAGACTGTGTTTGTAATTATGGACAGAAGAACCTGCTCTATGAAGCAATAGAGATACTTCTCCTCTCTCTGCCCCTCCCTCCTCTCCCATCTCCTCTCCTCTCTCCTCTCCTCTCCCATCTCCTCTCCCCTCTCCTCTCCTCTCCCCTCTCCCCTCTCCTCTCTCCTCTCTCCTGGCTTGGTCTTTGAGCAGATGACCCCCTCCCTCCTCCTCCTGTGGGTCTCTCAGTGCGTTTACGGCTCGGTCTAAACCTGTTCCTCAGACAAAGATCCTCAAACTCCTCCATCACACTCCATGCTTTATTCATGACCGTCATTAAATCTGGAAGTGAAACTGAGACGTAAGTAAGTGAGTGTGGGAAGTGTTACACAGAGGGAGACACAGAGGGAGACACAGAGGGAGACACAGAGGGAGACACAGAGAGAGACACAGAGGGAGACACAGAGGGAGACACAGAGAGAGACACAGAGAGAGACACAGAGGGAGACACAGAGGGAGACACAGAGGGAGACACAGAGGGAGACACAGAGAGAGACACAGAGAGAGACACAGAGGGAGACACAGAGGGAGACACAGAGGGAGACACAGAGAGAGACACAGAGGGAGACACAGAGGGAGACACAGAGGGAGACACAGAGGGAGACACAGAGGGAGACACAGAGGGAGACACAGAGGGAGACACAGAGGGAGACACAGAGGGAGAGGGAAAGAGAGGAGCAGACACAGAGACAGATACACACACACACACACAACTCTGGCAGACCTTCCTTATTAAATTAATTTACTTAAAACCGTCTGAATAACAAGGTTCAAACTTCAGTCAGATCGGACTCTGCAGAAGGGGAAGCAAACACACATCTGTAAAGCAACATGCTAATACCCTCTGTATTTACAATGACACAGTGGGTGTTTCCCTCTAATCTGCTTTTTCATGCGGCTCTTTAGAAAGACATTATTATGACAAATGATGAGCACAAAAAGAAGATACATTTTAAAAGGCTAATGCTAAAGTGGCTAGTGTATCTCTGTGAGAACACACCCAGGACTGAGGCTGTAGATCCAGGACTGAGACTGTAGACCCAGGACTGAGGCTGTAGACCCAGGACTGAGGCTGTAGACCCAGGACTGAGGCTGTAGATCCAGGACTGAGGCTGTAGATCCAGGGTTCAGTCTGACTGTAAATATTAACGGATGTAGTCACGCCTATCTCTGCCACCACTTTTGGCTTCTATGGGCTTTTTCAAAGTGCCTTCTGAAATCCACAAACATTCTCGTCCTTTCTATGACTGATGTCTCCTCTTCCTCCTCCCCCTCCTCCTCATCCCACTCCTCTTCATCCCACTCCTCCTCAGGTGACAGTGCAGATGTGTCAGCGTGGTCCTGGGGGTTGGCGTGGTCAGACCCTCAGCGCCTCGGTCTCGTTCCCTGCCTCCTGCTGTGTGCTCTTCAGAGTCTGTGGAGCAGAGCAGGACTCCAGGATCCCGGCCTCAGACGTGAGCAGCATCTCTCTGAGCATCTGACGCGGGCGACTTATAGTAACACACATCACCACACCCCAGAGAGAGAGACTGAGGAGAGAGAAGAGAGAGACCTGAGAGAGAGACCACAGAGACTGAGGAGAGAGAAGAGAGAGACCTGAGAGAGAGACCACGGAGAGACTGAGGAGAGAGAAGAGAGAGACCACAGAGACTGAGGAGAGAGAAGAGAGAGACCACAGAGAGACTGAGGAGAGAGAAGAGAGAGACCTGAGAGAGAGACCACAGAGACTGAGGAGAGAGAAGAGAGAGACCACAGAGACTGAGGAGAGAGAAGAGAGAGACCACAGAGAGACTGAGGAGAGAGAAGAGAGAGACCTGAGAGAGAGACCACAGAGACTGAGAGAGAGACCACACAGAGGAGGAGAGAGAGAACCACAGAGACTGAGGAGAGAAGAGAGAGACCACAGAGAGACTGAGAGAGAGAGAGAGAGAGAGAGAGACCACAGAGACACAAGAGACTGAGGAGAGAGAAGAGAGAGACCACAGAGAGACTGAGAGAGAGAAGAGAGAGACCTGAGAGAGAGACCACAGAGACTGAGGAGAGAGAAGAGAGAGACCTGAGAGAGAGACCACGGAGAGACTGAGGAGAGAGAAGAGAGAGACCACAGAGACTGAGGAGAGAGAAGAGAGAGACCACAGAGAGACTGAGGAGAGAGAAGAGAGAGACCTGAGAGAGAGACCACAGAGACTGAGGAGAGAGAAGAGAGAGACTTGAGAGAGAGACCACGGAGAGACTGAGGAGAGAGAAGAGAGAGACCACAGAGAGACTGAGGAGAGAGAAGAGAGAGACCTGAGAGAGAGACCACAGAGAGACTGAGGAGAGAGAAGAGAGAGACCTGAGAGAGAGACCACAAAGATTGAGGAGAGAGAAAAGAGAGACCTGAGAGAGAGACCACAGAGACTGAGGAGAGAGAAGAGTGAGAGACCAGAGAATAACTAGATAGAAACTAGAGTGGTCTCTCACTCTAGTTTCTAGAGAAAGAGACCCAAGAGATAGAAAAGATAGACTAGAGAGCGACACATCTAAGTTCAGGTCGTCAAAGAACAAAGTCAACTTGTCACCTGGTCCCTGTTACTTCAGCCCAAATGCAGAAGTGACATGTTTTTTATCATATTTATAATGTTTTGGGACAAAGGGAACGCAGACTTTTCTATGTTTTATTCTAAATATGAAAACACTACAACGTTTGTCACCCCCAGTGCCTTTGCTCTTGTGTTTTTTTATGTGTGAAGAGCAAATGCATATAATCTTAATAATCTGTCGGTCGGCCGGTCTTGTATTTTTAAATAGTTTAGTCATATTAAATTATTATTCGTTAAACTGTGCCACATTTTACTGTGAAAAACAAAAACGAAAGTCATGGTAAATGCAGCCTGTAAGAACTATAGTAATTCAGAAATAGCAACACATTTTGAACATTTCTCTCTGCTTTTTGAAGAGATACCTTGGCTTCCAAAGGTTACGCTAACGGCTATGCTAACGGCTATGCTAACGACTATGCTAACGGCTACAATTGAGTTCACGGCCTTTGGTAGAATCCAAAATTAGATTATTTGAACGCCTTCTGCTAATGCGATTCAAAAGCTTTTTAAGTTTCTTCGTACTCAAGCTAGCTGCGTTTAGAAGAAGAATTCAAGGCAAAAAAGTATAAACAAAACGGTTGAGAAAGAGTAGATTGGACACTAAACTTTCACAATTATAAAACAAAACCATTTTACTACTTATTATCTTTCCTTTTAAAGCACCCGTTTCTCCACCAGTATTTGTGGTCATTTGTGCACGATACACTTTCATAATAAAAGCACTTTTTAGGTTTAAAGCCAGCATCACAATAAAAGTAAATGTTATTTAGAGTGAGTTTTGGATCTGTTTTGAGATGTTTATGATTTTTAACTGTTTAAACCTGACATTATAAATATACCTGTGTTTTTGTGGTTTTCTTTACAATCCATCTGTTTATGATATAATGTATCTGTTTATAGCTCCAGAATTTATTTGTATTTTATTTTTTCATTCTATTGTCTATGATCTTAAATATAGACTCTATTTGATGTGTGCAATCTGAGTGCTCGTATTTCCTTCTTTCTCTGCTGCAATGTGCTTACTGTGGGACGAATAAAGGAATATCTTATCTTATAAATATAGAAGTTGTAAGTACAAGACATCAAACTGATCAGAATAACATAGAGCAGAAGTTCCAGGCTCTCATGGATGTTACTATACTTTCTGGAGGATGTGGCAGACATCTTGGAGAGACCAGGAGCTGAGATCTTGGAGAAACCAGGGGCAGACATGTTGGAGAGACCAGGGGCAGACATGTTGGAGAGACCAGGGGCAGACATGTTGGAGAGACCAGGGGCAGACATGTTGGAGAGACCAGGGGCAGACATGTTGGAGAGACCAGGGGCAGACATGTTGGAGAGACCAGGGGCAGACATGTTGGAGAGACCAGGAGCTGAGATCTTGGAGAAACCAGGGGCAGACATGTTGGAGAGACCAGGGGCAGACCATGGAGCTCACATGCATTTAAGAGCACAAGAAAAAGCTTGCATGAGAAATATATGCATTTGGACGAATATAGGGGACTCACTCATGTTGTAGTTTTAAACACTGTTGAGTTTTAATTTCATGTAATGAATGAATAATTTCATTGTAATGTTTAAAACTATTACTCAATCAGGTTTTAGATCAAAGCATATTATCCAGTCTGTTATCAGTCAAACTCATCTTGGACCTCATTCGGTCTATCTCACAATATTAGCTCTCTTATTAAACGTTACCAGAAACCTTTTGAGTCTCCAGGACCCCGTAGTTTGGCGTCTGGTTCTGTGTAATACAATAACCAATCATACTTAAGACGACCCTCGTTCAACATTATGATAAACATGGGGTTTCCAGGATGCAGAGAAGACAAAAGCCATTAGCAAGTGACGCTCTGGGTCTGTGTCTCTGTGGGGAAGATCCGATTATGAAGCGGATTAAATGGGAGAAAAGAGCAGAGTTTGAAGGGTCAGAGTGGTTTTAATACGTTTTATTGGAGTTGAGTTGGATCAAAGTCAGCGGTGTTTCAGAAGCAGAAATGGACACGGAATGATTCTTCCAGCTTCTCTATGTCTTTGGTCTTACAGTAAAATACAGCCACGTTTTCAATGTTCACTGAAGATTCTGATCTGAATCATAGACTGTATACACATTCACAATGCTAAGCTGTTATCTCAATGATGCCCAATAGGGAAGTGCTCATGGACAAAGTTTTGCAGAAACTCACTTTGGCGCCAATAGACATGTAAAAGTAAACTCATCTAGCTCAGTAACCGTTTGAGTCACACTAACTGCTGTGGGCTAACTGGTTTATAGATCTGTGATTCTGCTTTTTATATTGTGACATTAGTCTCTGGTTCTGGTCCCATGACACCAATGCCTTGTACAAGAAGGGCCAAAGTCGCCTCTTCCTTCTGAGGAGGCTGAGGTCCTTCGGAGTGAGCAGGCCTCTGCTCAGGACTTTTTATGACTCTGTGGTAGCTTCTGCCATTTACTACGCTGCTGTCTGCTGGGCCCCGGGCAGCACAGGAGCAGACTGAACAAGCTGGTCAGGAGGGCCAGCTCCACTCTGGGCTGCTCCCTGGACTCTGTGGAGGAGGTGAGGGACAGGAGGGTGCTAGTCAAAGCCACCTCCTTCATGAACAACACCTCCCACCCAAGGAGCGCTACCGCAGGGCCTTTATCCCCACCGCTGTCAGACTGTACAATAAGTCACTAATGACATGCACTGCTATTGCCATTTTTTGACATATTTTTAACCATCAACATGTTTGCACAATCTGAGTGATTTTATCTATGCCAAATGTGACATGTACATTTCTCCAGTGTGAGATCAATAAAGTTTATCTTTATTATGCAGGAGAGTCTATAAGGACAGGGATGATCCGTACATTGGACCTATGCACCAGGTTTAGACCAGCTTTACCCCTGCCATGGACTTGCTTTAGTCAAACCTCTCTCTTTAAAGACGTACAAGCTTTGGTTGAAACTGTTCATATTTAGACTTTAAATCTATACTATATTACAAATAAATATATGTATAACTTCTAATAGCAGACACTACAGATGTAGCTGCCCGTCACCGAGTAAAAATATGCAAGGCTCTAACTTTGGGCTGGAGCGCGAGACGCTCGTCTCATGCGGTGAGAACGGTCCTCGCTGTAGAGGTGGGCGCCTATTTCACGTTAGCTCTACGCGAGTCTCTACTCTTCACATGATGCGTGCGGTGTGTACGAGGGCGACGCACAATATATTGAATGACAACAACAGATTTATGTGTAAAAGATTTTCAAAGTGGCTTTTATTAAGAACAATATAAACAAAGACATGAAACAAACAGGAAATGCAGGAAAGAGACGATGCTGACCTCATGTCGATCTGAAAAACAAACAGATGATCATCAGTTGGAGGTTCTCATCAGTGTCTTGCCCAAGGACACACGGCAGCTGGTTCTTCTATTTTCTTTCAGCTAGTGTGGCCCAGAAAGGTCAGAGAGAGACCAGAGGCAGACTCTGTCCATGAGCACGTACGTCTTTACAGGAGGCTCTAGGATCAACGCTATGTTCCAGATGCTGTCAATGATGAGGGGGAATTTTTTTGGACCAGTCTAGTTTAGCCGCTGTGGACTTTTGAATGAACGCTTCAAATGAATGGGGCTCATGTCAGCAGACACATGCACAACACGTTTTTCCACATTTTCCTGTGGGAGGGGCTGCCCGCGGCTGTTTTTAAAAATGATCACACATAAGTTTCAACGGCGGAGATAAGCCTATCTCTACAGTCTATGGTTCTAACTGACAGTGATTGGCCAGAGTGGTGCTGGAAGCCATGGTTACCAAGGAATTTCCTGGATACTAGTTTGTTTTGTGTAGGTTTCTATGATACAGTACCAGATACTAAAGCATAAGGAAACAACCAGGTAGAGTAGAGATTGGCTGGTGGAACCATGGCCTAAGTTAGGTACCCCAGCTTTAATCATGTTTTGTAATAATTGGACATTTCCCAAACAAACTCAACCGAGGGAGAGGACAGTGTGAGCTGAGCGCACTATAAAACCTCAGATCTGCAGACTTCATAATGTCTGTCTCTGAAGTGTCGGATATTGGACAGAGATATCATCAGAATATTCTGCCCTTTAGCTCTCAGATTCTAGAGACCAGAGGGAGACCAGAGGGAGACCAGAGGCAGACCAGAGGGAGACCAGAGGGAGACCAGAGGGAGACCAGAGGGAGACCAGAGGGAGACCAGAGGGAGACCAGAGGGAGACCAGAGGCAGACCAGAGGGAGACCAGAGGGAGACCAGAGGGAGACCAGAGGGAGACCAGAGGGATACCAGAGGGATACCAGAGTCTAGAGAGTAGAGACAAAAGAGAGAACAGAGTGAGATTAGCAAGAGACCAAAAAGAGACAAGGGAGAAACCAGAGAGCGAGAGAGAGAGAGGAGAAAGATGCTGAGACTCACTTGGGCTTGGTCTCTGCGTCGGTGACTTGGCGGATGAAGATGGCGTCCTCTGGATGGGGGACGTCTCCCTTCTCGTACATGTAGGAAGCTGCGATGGCGAGCAACGTGCCGTCATTGTTGAAGGCCAGAGACGCCACGCTCGTGGGGTAACGATGGAACTGGCACAAACGCTTCTTATTGAACGGGTCCCAGATGTTCACGAAGCCGTCCGAGCCGCCTGAGAAAAGACGAGGTTATTCGTAAAGCACAGTTCATACACGAGGAAATTCAAAGTGCTGAACCATGGAAGCTTTAGAACAGTCAGAATGTGAAGAATACTGTTAATGGTTGTGTGAAGCCATTTCCTGTCAAACAGGGTTTTTTTGATGACAGAAGTTTTTATCTGCGACACCAGATAAATCAGAAACCAGAGAGAGAGTGCAGACAGAGAGAGAGAGCAGACAGAGAGGGAAAGTAGACAGCCTTGCTGGTGTGTGGGGGCAGAGTCAGGAGCCTTGCTGGTGTGTGGGGGCAGAGTCAGGAGGCTTGCTGGTGTGGGGAATCAGACTGCTGGTGTGTGGGGGCAGAGTCAGGAGCCTTGCTGGTGTGTGGGGGCAGAGTCAGGAGCCTTGCTGGTGTGTGGGGGGGTCAGGAGCTGCGTGTGGGCAAGTCAGAGCTTGCTGGTGTGTGGGGGGAGTCAGGAGACTGGTGTGGGGGAGAGCGAGCTTGCTGGTGGTGGGGGCAGAGTCGGAGCTTGCTGGTGTGTGGGGGCGAGAGGACTGGGTTGCATGGAGGCTTGCTGGTGTGTGGGGGCAGAGTCAGGAGCCTTGCTGGTGTGTGGGGGCAGAGTCAGGAGGCTTGCTGGTGTGTGGGGGCAGAGACTGGAGGCTTGCTGGTGTGTGGGGGCAGAGACTGGAGGCTTGCTGGTGTGTGGGGGCAGAGTCAGGAGGCTTGCTGGTGTGTGGGGGCAGAGTCAGGAGCCTTGCTGGTGTGTGGGGGCAGAGTCAGGAGGCTTGCTGGTGTGTGGGGGCAGAGTCAGGAGGCTTGCTGGTGTGTGGGGGCAGAGTCAGGAGCCTTGCTGGTGTGTGGGGGCAGAGTCAGGAGCCTTGCTGGTGTGTGGGGGCAGAGTCAGGAGCTTGCTGGTGTGTGGGGGCAGAGTCAGGAGGCTTGCTGGTGTGTGGGGGCAGAGTCAGGAGGCTTGCTGGTGTGTGGGGGCAGAGTCAGGAGCCTTGCTGGTGTGTGGGGGCAGAGTCAGGAGCCTTGCTGGTGTGTGGGGGCAGAGTCAGGAGGCTTGCTGGTGTGTGGGGGCAGAGTCAGGAGGCTTGCTGGTGTGTGGGGGCAGAGTCAGGAGGCTTGCTGGTGTGTGGGGGCAGAGTCAGGAGGCTTGCTGGTGTGTGGGGGCAGAGTCAGGAGCCTTGCTGGTGTGTGGGGGCAGAGTCAGGAGGCTTGCTGGTGTGTGGGGGCAGAGTCAGGAGCCTTGCTGGTGTGTGGGGGCAGAGTCAGGAGGCTTGCTGGTGTGTGGGGGCAGAGTCAGGAGGCTTGCTGGTGTGTGGGGGCAAAGCGCTAACCTGTGGCGAAAGTGTTGTGCGTGTTGTGGAAGGAGATGGCGTTGACTGGATACACGTTCTCGATGCCCTCCTCCTTCAGACGGTGACATTTGAAGGCGTACTTCTTCTTCTGCACCTCGGCGCTGGGGTCCAGGTACTCTACCGCCACCCGGCCCTCGATGGAGCTCAGCACATAACCCTGTCATGGGGCAACGCAAAAAAACAACAGAGAGAGAGAGAGAGACGCACACAGTTTTACACATAGGTCACATGATGGATGACACTTCACATTCAGTAAGAGACAGTCCTGCTCTATCCTCCCTGTTTCTTTACTCTCCATTCCTCCCTCCCTCTGCTCTCTCCGTTTCCAGGGATGAAAACTTCTGTAGTCAAAAACTTGTTTATTTGACAAGAAATGGCTTCACACAACCATGAACAATGATCTTACATAATCTCAGAATGATGGCTAATAGATAACAGAGCCTGTCTTCCTGGTGTGAGTGGTTACTGGTACCTGTTTGTTGGGGAAGGCACGGATGGCACGCGTCTGGTACTTGAGGCTGGACTCTCGCCTCTGCTGCACGTACCCCATGTTTCTCAGGTCCCAGACCAGGACTCTCCTCCCGGCTGTTCCAACGATCAGCCTGTCCCCCGCCACGGACAGAGTGTAGACCTGAAACCCGCAGAGACCAGAGATCAGGAATGTGTGAAAGACCAAACTAGTCCTTCAAATGCCCCATTTCCATCAGCCCAGCCCTACGCAACTCGGCTCTACCTGGTTGTGTTTCATTTATACTTTATATCTGGTAAGGTTTATTTATATAGCGCATTTTACAGACCAAGGTCAACCAAAGCACTTTACAATTGTTCAGAGAGTTTTTCCTTTCTCTCCACACACACGGTGATACTGTATACTAGCAACCTACCCACAGAAAACCAGAATCCAGGGAAATTCCTTGGTAACCATGGCTTCCATTAGCACTCTTAGTCAATCATTGTCAGAACACTTTAGTACCAGCTCGGCCTTGATAGAACCAGGACCAAGAGAGACTAAAGAAGGACCTTGCACTGGTTAAACAGTCTCCCCTCTCTACCTTCTCTGGCTGGGTGAAAGTGCCAGCGTTGCAGGGGGTGCGTGGGTCCCACAGTCGCACAGATCGGTCCCAGCTCCCGGTCACCATCACGTTCACCTCGGGACAGTGCTCCACGCAGCGGATCGGGGCATCGTGGCTACCGACCATCGTGTCTGTGGAAAGAAGAAAAACATTTGTAAATTACAAAGATCAAGCCATAAAAAACTGGATGGGAATGAATAGTTTTAGCCTTTCTCCAGTTTGCGCGCCGAGGTCAAAATTCTCAAAAAATCTCTGATAAAAATGATTCCCCATAGTCCTCAATGTTACAAAAATGCTAGTTCTGGGATAGCGTACAGTGCCAAACAGCTAGCTTCGCATTTCTTCAGTTGATCTTGTTTTTTTTCTTTTACCTTGGTCTGTGTTGAGGTCATGCATCTTTAGCTGAGCGTCTAAGCCTCCGCTCCAGGAGTGTGTGGGGTCCTGTGGGGGAAACACATGGCCAAGTATGAGAGGCAAGCACACACACACACACACACAATGCAAATAAACTCATAATTCCTGTTATAAAAGGTACTATTACAGTTCTGTGATGCAGCAGGATGTTGAATCTAGTTACTAATCCTGTTAAAAATGTATTGTTTTGTCAAATTCACCAGTTAAATGCAGGAAAACTTGGCTTTTCTCCTCTGTGTGTGCATGTCAACATTAACGTCACAGCAACCGTTGTTAAGGAGATTTAGCTGGCTCAAAAAGTAGTCCCTAACCTCAGACATGTTTTTGAGAGTGTAGAGGGCAAATGATATCTATTTTCTAATAAGTTATGAGTGTGTGAGCTTCTAACTAAGGTATAAACAGAGTGGCAGTGGGACTAAAGCTGGGAGACCTAATTCTTTTGTCATAAACAACACATGTAGCTTGTCCTAACAGAAACCTACATAGAAGGCGCAGTCGAGGACGGGTGCAGAGTGCTGGTACTTCATGCGGACCGTGTTGGCCGTGACGTCGTAGAGCCGCACTGAGCTGTCCCAGGACGACACCAGCAAGAACTGTGAGGCGCTGGGACTGAACTTCACCGCCGACACCCCATCCTCCGGCGCCGCACTCAGCTTGTACTCGTTAGAGCCGGTCATCTGCAAGACACAGAGGCACCGCCGTTTAAAGACATGTCATTATATTTATTGTCTGGTCAGTCTGTTTTGTCCCAACAGAAACTCTAATCAAAGAACAACAAATCAGACCACAGCATGAGGTCTTCATATAATTGTTAACATGCTATATTTTGCATACTTAATAAAACTACTTTTTTAATGTTTTTAGGCAATAAGTCCACAGCTTCAATGTTTCCCTTATTGCGAGTTGTCCTGTGTATAAAACTAGCCTAATCTAAGAATGAATGAACTCATAGCTAATGAAGAAGATGACATAGTCTGGGAACAGAGGGGGGAATATGAGATTTCATAACACTTTGAAGCAACTTTTGTTAAAGTTAAACTCATCATTCTATCAATGTGCAGAAGCCTGTACTTTTCCCTTGTTTTGTCTATCTGAAGGCCAAGCTACATGGCATCGTGGAAGCTGCTGATTGGAGGTCTCCATGCCTCCGCTCTGTATAATACACTTGCATTCTCTTGTATCTGTTGTTCGTGCTGTCTCTACCATCGACAATAAAACATGTCTTCTGTCTGAATTAAAGACGCGATCCCAGACTATGTCATCTTCTTCACTAATATTATGCTAACAGTTATGGGTTGCCAACATATTGCTAGGGCAGTCATGACTAGTCTAATGCTTTAATAAATAATTATCTTCAAATTTCATAAGCATCTGAGTCATGTGAGCCTTCGCTATAACGGTATGACGTTGAAAAATATCTTCAAACATGAATGGAACAGCTGTAAGTTTGGCTCAGCGTGTTTTGGGTCCCATGTTGTTGCTGTTAGCCGCGCAGAGCTAGCTAACAAATGCTAACGCAAGCTTCAAAACAGAGATTATCTGAAGTTTCACCTCGTGTGATCGGTGTCGAGTTGTCAGGTTAGCGTTCTGGGTGTTTCACGGTGGGGTTTACTCCTCTGTCTGTGTTTACAATGCGGATAATGGGCAAAAACTGGGGTAAAACTGTGGATACGGCTAGGCTATGCTAACACCGGGAGGACCGTGAGTGCGCGCGCTGATTGGTCCAGGCTGGGGTTTGAACTGGCGCATGCGCTCTCATTGCTCTGTGAATGAATGAATTAAAGCTGGGGTACATTACTTTTTCTTTCATAAGTAACACGCTGTTTGTCTCAGCACAGGCTTGGATTTAAATATTGTGAACGCGTCAGACCACAACAGGCTGCATTCGTCTTAGACAATATGTTATATCCATTGTATTAGAGAGAGCCCTGTTAGTCCCTATTTGGTGCTTTGGGATGAGAGAGGAGAGCTTTTTAACTTTTCTGTCTGAACAAGTTTAAATACATGCATGTGAAAACTAGTGATAGAACCAAGCTTTTTTGGAGCCAGGAGCTTACACGGTAAAAAGAAAACGTTGAGAAAACTTAAAATATCAAGGCAACATGATGCAAGAGATTTTTGAGTAATCTCAACTTTTGCCTACTGTTGTTGACCTAACTAAGATTTACAAGTTCTGACAAGAGTTCTGCCAACTTGGATCTTCCTGTTCACCTAAGTAGGATAATCCTGGAAGTCCAACAAAGAAATTCTGGTTTCAATGCCATGTATTTCTGTCTTCACTAAATGCAGATATTCTTGTTGAATAAACATATAATTATTAATTGAATGCCATGCATTTATAACTTCAACAAACACAGATATTCTTGTTGAAAATCCATACAATTCTTACTCCAGTGAGTTGAAAATATACCTATTTAAAAAATAAGGAAAATGTACATTGTATTTATATTTGTAAAAACCTCAAATAAATAAATATTGAATAAAACAAAGCACAACTGAATGTGATCTTAAATCTTATTTAATTTGTTTAACAGTGCCTCAAGTACATTTCACACTGTTATGGGTAGTCAGGTCAATTTTTGTAACAAAAAAAAAAGTAAATAAAAACAGTATTGCCGGTTTCTTTTTTTGGGTGCTTTGAGCACCACAGCAAATACGTTAAAATTGTGTTCAACATATAGTCACTCATGCACAACACCAATAGGATAGTGCCAAAGATTATTGGCTGTGTACCCAGACACTGACGTTTTACATGGGCATAACTATAATGAACTACAGCAGTTAAAAAGTTCTTAGAAATATTACCTTCAATGAACAGGAAACTAACCGGTAAAACACCATGTTCTGTGTTTCATGTGAAGTGGACAACATTTAAAAAAATCTTTTAAAACACATGACACAATCTCAACATATATTGTCAACAATTCGTCTCCTTCCTTTCCTTCCATTTTTCTCCCTCTCAACTTCCTTCTTTTCTCCCTTCCTTCCAGTTCCCCCTCTCTTCTTCCTTCTTTCCCTTCCCTCCCTCTTCTTCTCACCCTCCTTTCCTTCCTTACTTCCATTTTTCCCTCTTCTTCCTTCTTTCCTCTTCCCTCCTTACATCCATTTTCTCCCTCTCCTTTCCTCTTCCCTTCTCTCCCTCCTTTCCTTTTATTTTTCTCCCTTCTTGCCTCTCCTCCTTTCCTTCCTTATTCTTCATCTCTTGACCGAAAGACAACAAGAGGGTTAAGAAACAGCTAATCTGAAAATAGAATTTTCCATCTCCTACACATCCTTATGCAGGTTGAAACAGAGGTGAGGTTGTTTTTGTTCTTTTTTGCATACATACATTAGTTTTACTTGAACAATAATTCAACAGTTTAAACACTAAATGAGCAACTCTTGGTAACAGGTGAATGACCATCAGAAGAAAAAGGGTTTAACTACAGTTTTTTACATGACTCAACAGCAATGGACTTGAACAGGCTAAAGAACACATGATAAAGTCATGTCTGGCTTCTCCATTAACAGTCACAGCAAAAGCTTTGTTTTCAGAGCCCTTATGCGCTGTGAGCATCGAGAGCCACCGAGCTCAAAAAAGATGGCTTGAATTGCTTCAAAGGTATAACTCATCTGCTTTGGATAATCAATGTTGAGGGCATACAGAAGGCCAAAGAGGTATGCCAAGGCAGAAGAGAGGTCTGGAATGTTATGTAGCACAATATCCCCTTCCAACACAACTGCATGGTCTCGCACAGTCGTACCGGGATCGTCATCTTGTAGGATGGTGAGGATGGCAACAGATACACCGTTCAACACTGGTTCCAAAATGTCAGTGTCCTGAAGAAAGGTATAATATTAATTATTGAGAACTAAAGACAAAATACATTTCTACAGATTTGAAATTAAACCTCCGTATCATGCTGGTCATTTGACTCAGAGGTTTTAAAAAGAAAAAGCTTATTTTTCTTTAATTAACGACGTAGTAGCTTTCTCCCACCAACCTTGTGATGAGTTTTGTACAAAAGTATTTTCTACAATGGAACACACATGAACAATGCCCAGCTGCTTCTCAGCAGAAAAATGGGAGCGAGAGTTAGACAACTGCAATCCTCTCCATAAAATTATCTGGACAGCACTGAGGTGTACATTTCCATTTTGGATCTTTTGGAACTCATCCTTTGAAACATCTCAGGATTTAGTTTTACTTGCATTACTTTTTTGTACTTACCAAGCATTTCAGGAAAACCTCTGTTGCATCTTCTCTGACGAAAATGGGCAGGCCTCTCAGTGCTGCGGTCTTTCGGTGGCACACAATGTTGGATGTCTAAAGAGTACTCAGTGGAAAACAAGCATTTCAATTAGTATAGTAACAGTGTACTTATACACAATGCAAAATCAGAACATTTATATTAATCAAAATAAAGCACAGGTCAGACCCTGCAACATTGCAACTATGTTAACAATTTTACTTTACTTTTACAAAATAAAATGTGTTAAATCAAATATTGCCAAATAAGAACATAAAGCAATGACTGCTGACATTAATTTCCACTGACATATTTCCACAAATGTGTTTTGACTGAAGCCAAAATATTGTCAGGAAAAGGAGCACTTCTCTCACCTGTTCATCAAGGTTTTCCAGCAGGTCTTCCATCTTCTGTCCAAGAGCTCCCTTCTTAGACCGGTACAGTCTTAACAGGCCAGGCACAAATTTGTCAAGGGAGGCATTGAAAGTCCCCAGGAGGTCTTTGCTCGTAATCCGATGAAATTCTTTTGATATCTAAACAAGACAATCAACAAAATATTGTCATTTATTCAGCACAGAAAGTCCCTGGATAGCCGTCTTGTGCAGTCTACACCATGTCCAATGACCATGTTATGAACAGCAAAACTTACTTCAAAAAGCTCTCATGAATCCATATTTTGCACATGAATAGAAATACTTTTTTATCATGTTCCATGTTGGACCGCAATCTGTGAGCAATCAGATTCTGTGACCTGCCTAAGTATTCTTTCCCTAACCATCTCAGTCTATTAAAACTATTAAACTTTCTTGCAAAACAGAATCATTTACTTCAATTTGATGTTTTGAAAAGATCTCTTTTACACTGTTTAGAGTATGAATGTTACAGGTTACGCAAATCTTCTACAATCTTTTGTGTTGCAGCTCGAGAAACATGCAACACCGTTTGCATACACAGAAAGAGAGAAGCCAATTTGTGTTCAAGTGTCTCACTAGCCACATCCTCTACAATCTCTTCAATATCATTTTGTCTCAAAATATTAAAAGCTGATGTTCCTGCTTCACTATCAGATTGCTCACTGTCAATTATTTCATCTTCAATAACAGTTCTTGCAAATGTTCGAAAATCCTCAAGTGTACAATTTTTATGGTTTCGACTTCTGTGAGAACTGAATGTTGGGCGAATGTTTGTTTTAAAGGAACACCTTAAAAAGGGGCATTGTACAGTTTCACGGTTCTTTAAATGATGTCCAAGATGGTTCCAAAAAGTTTTCTCACTGCAAATCTCCTTAAAATCACACAATTCACATTGAAATGTTGAATTTTTGTGGATTTCCACTATTGAGTGAGATCTTGAAAGATGTGATCGTAATGCTCCAGGTGTTTTAAATACACATACACAGTCTGTGTGAATGCAAGGCCAATGTGCACCTTGTCCGTGATGAAGGCGGAAATGTTTCAGAAGAGTCTCTTGACTGGAGCTTGTGAATTTACAAAATCTGCACTGCATGAAATCCACCCCTGAAACACAAGCGACAGATAGGACACAATCAGTTTAGCTAAAAGCACTTTTGCAACAGTCCTTGAAATTGTAAACATTTAAGTAACAATACAGCTATAGGTCCCCCAATTAAGGTTGGATGAATTTCACCCATTCTACCTTAGTTTTGAAAGGCTACACACACACACACACACACACACACACCTAAAAGTTAAAAAATTACTTTGAACTATTACATATCAGACTATTAAGTTAAGCTTATTATTGAAATTAAGGAATTCTTATCTTAAATTCTTATCTTAAATTGAAATCTAGTGGGGAAAAAAATAACTTCATGATAAGATTTTTGATAACATTTGTCTAACTTCTCATGGTGTTTAGTAATGTATTGCACGTATGTGTGCATTATCTTTATTTAGTTTAAGTCTTCAGTCTCTGTTTAATGGTGAAAATTGACTAGATAACTGCATAATAGTGCTTCTCCGAAAAACACTGATTCAACCACTGCTCAACAGTTCTGCAACTCTTTCTCTCTCTCCTCCCGTCTCTGTCTCTCTCTCTCTCCACGTCTCTGTCTCTCTCTCTCTCCTCCCGTCTCTGTCTCTCTGCGTCTCTGTCTCTCTCTCTCCGCGTCTCTGTCTCTCTCTCCGCGTCTCTGTCTCTCTCTCCGCGTCTCTGTCTCTCTCGCCGCGTCTCTGTCTCTCTCTCTCGTCTCTGTCTCTCTCTCCTCTCTCTCTGTCTCTCTCTCTCTCTCTCTCTCTCTCTCTCTGTCTCTGTCTCTCTCCCGTCTCTCTCTCTCTCCGCGTCTGTCTCTCTCTTCCGTCTCTGTCTCTCTCTCTTCGCGTCTCTCTCTCTCTCTCCTCCGTCTCTGTCTCTCTCTCTCTCTCCTCCCGTCTCTGTCTCTCTCTCTCTCCTCTCTTCTCTCTCTCCTCCCGTCTCTGTCTCTCTCTCTCTCCTCCGTCTCTTCCTCTCTCTCTCTCTCTCCTCCCGTCTCTCTCTCTCTCTCTCCCCGTCTCTGTCTCTCTCTCTCCTCTCTCTCTCTCGTCTCTCTCTCTCTCTCTCCTCCTCTCGTCTCTCTCTCTCTCTCCTGTCTTCTCTCTCTCCCGTCTCTGTCTCTCTCTCTCTCCTCCGTCTCTGTCTCCTCTCTCTCTCCCGTCTCTGTCTCTCTCTCTCTCTCTCCTCTCTTCTCTCTCTCTCTCCTCCCGTCTCTGTCTCTCTCTCTCTCGCGTCTCTGTCTCTCTCTCTCTCCTCCCTCTCTGTCTCTCTCTCTCTCTCCTCCCGTCTCTGTCTCTCTCTCTCTCCCGCTCTGTCTCTCTCTCTCTCCTCCCGTCTCTGTCTCTCTCTCTCTCCTCGTCTCTGTCTCTCTCTCTCTCTCTCCCGTCTCTGTCTCTCTCTCTCTCTCCCGTCTCTGTCTCTCTCTCTCTCCTCCCGTCTCTGTCTCTCTCTCTCTCTCCTCCGTCTCTCTCTCTCTCTCCTCCCGTCTCTGTCTCTCTCTCCGCGTCTCTGTCTCTCTCTCTCTCTCCGTCTCTCTCCGTCTCTGTCTCTCTCTCCGCGTCTCTGTCTCTCTCTCGCGTCTCTGTCTCTCTCCGCGTCTCTGTCTCTCTCTCCTCCCTCTGTCTCTCTCTCTCCTCCGTCTCTGTCTCTCTCTCTCCCTCCCGTCTCTGTCTCTCTCTCTCCTCCCGTCTCTGTCTCTCTCTCTCCTCCCGTCTCTGTCTCTCTCTCCTCCCGTCTCTGTCTCTCTCTCCTCCCGTCTCTGTCTCTCTCTCTCCTCCCGTCTCTGTCTCTCTCTCCTCCCGTCTCTGTCTCTCTCTCTCTCCTCCCGTCTCTGTCTCTCTCTCCGCGTCTCTGTCTCTCTCTCTCCTCCCGTCTCTGTCTCTCTCTCCGCGTCTGTCTCTCTCTCTCTCTCCTCCCGTCTCTGTCTCTCTCCTCCCGTCTGTCTCTCTCTCTCTCCTCCCGTCTCTGTCTCTCTCTCTCCTCCCGTCTCTGTCTCTCTCTCTCCTCCCGTCTCTGTCTCTCTCTCCGCGTCTGTCTCTCTCTCCGCGTCTCTGTCTCGCTCTCTCTCCTCCCGTCTCTGTCTCTCTCTCCGCGTCTCCGTCTCTCTCTCTCTCTCTTCGCGTCTCTGTCTCTCTCTTCGCGTCTCTGTCTCTCTCTCTTCGCGTCTCTGTCTCTCTCTCTTCGCGTCTCTGTCTCTCTCTCTCCTCCCGTCTCTGTCTCTCTCTCTCTCTCCTCCCGTCTCTGTCTCTCTCCTCCCGTCTGTCTCTCTCTCTCTCCTCCCGTCTCTGTCTCTCTCTCTCTCCTCCCGTCTCTGTCTCTCTCTCTCTCCTCCCGTCTCTGTCTCTCTCTCTCCGCGTCTCTGTCTCTCTCTCCGCGTCTCTGTCTCTCTCTCCGCGTCTCTGTCTCTCTCTCCGCGTCTCTGTCTCTCTCGCCGCGTCTCTGTCTCTCTCTCCTCCCCTCTGTCTCTCTCTCTCCTCCCGTCTCTGTCTCTCTCTCTCCCCTCCCGTCTCTGTCTCTCTCCCCTCCCGTCTCTGTCTCTCTCTCTCCTCCCGTCTCTGTCTCTCTCTCCTCCCGTCTCTGTCTCTCTCTCCTCCCGTCTCTGTCTCTCTCTCTCCTCCCGTCTCTGTCTCTTTCTCCTCCCGTCTCTGTCTCTCTCTCTCTCCTCCCGTCTCTGTCTCTCTCTCGCGCTTCTCTGTCTCTCTCTCTCTCCTCCCGTCTCTGTCTCTCTCTCTCTCCTCCCGTCTCTGTCTCTCTCCTCCCGTCTGTCTCTCTCTCTCTCCTCCCGTCTCTGTCTCTCTCTCTCCTCCCGTCTCTGTCTCTCTCTCCGCGTCTGTCTCTCTCTCCGCGTCTCTGTCTCGCTCTCTCTCCTCCCGTCTCTGTCTCTCTCTCCGCGTCTCCGTCTCTCTCTCTCTCTCTTCGCGTCTCTGTCTCTCTCTTCGCGTCTCTGTCTCTCTCTTCGCGTCTCTGTCTCTCTCTCTTCGCGTCTCTGTCTCTCTCTCTTCGCGTCTCTGTCTCTTTCTCTCCTCGTGTCTCTGTCTCTTTCTCTCCTCGTGTCTCTGTCTCTTTCTCTCCTCGTGTCTCTGTCTCTTTCTCTCCTCGTGTCTCTCGCACCTGCGCTTAAAGATGTTGTTTGATGCGGAGCAGAAAGTCAGCAGCTAGATTTGTTGTGATATTTTTAAAATAAGCTAGTTCTCTAATCTTTACAGTATAGGAAGTTTGTGGATGTTATTGCATTGGTGATTAAATGCTTGTTTTATTTTTAAAATGATGGTAAATTTGACTTTTAAAGTCAGTGCCTCCCCTATCACAATGCTCACCGCACGTCACTGGTCAATGCATGCAAACATTATGGCTGTGTCCAAAACGGTAGGCATCGGGCCGCGTAGGGTGGATATGTAGGCATCGTGACGTCACTTCCTCAAGCGACGGCTATTGCAGGGGTGTCCAAAACCACTTGGCGAGCTCGCCAAGCGTAGGCATCATGACTTCGTCTCTATGGAAACGGCCACTTTTGGAGCAGATATGAAGGATGCATCTGATGTATGCTTCGCTGCCTTCTTTTTGCCAAGTCACGGCCGCGCATGCGCAGAACTCCGTTTGGCATTAACATGTAAACAACAGCTCGGATCTGCTGGAGCTAACATTATGGTAAGCACTGCATTACTTTTATTGTGAAGTTATGTCTATAGTTAAGTACTGCTATACTTTACTGTTGAGTTATGAACACGACTGTTATGATAAAACACAGGACATACATTAGATCTGCACAGATGTGTGTATTAACTTGTTATCTGCTGTAAATAAGCTCAGTCCCGAAAAGCTAATGCTACGAGGCTAGTTTCATTCAGATTCGGTTTTTGAACAAGAAATATTATGTTGTGTTTTATTTTTTAGGGAGAAACAAACCCACTGATTA